CTTCCTCGTGCTGCTTTGTTTCCGAGCTGGGAAATTTAATGTGAAAATTAGCTGTGGTCATCTTGCAGGGCAGAAAGAGAGCCTGAGAGCTGCGCAGGATTCGGGGCTCACGAGTCCCAGAAGATTCATTAGGGAAGGAATGATAACGCAAGGCTGAAGGCAGCTGGACACCACTGTTTTATTTGGCCACATGACAAAAGAAAAGAAAGAAAAAAAGAAAAGAAAAATTAGAAAAGAAGGAAGGCCAAGTGTTTTGTCCAAACACCACCACTGTTCTGGGAAGGCCAGCCCTGGGATTTGGAGTTAGGTCCTGCCCAGTTCATTAGTGTCTCTCCTGACCCTGGTGCCCGGGGAAGGACTGGGGCTGCAGAGCTCCTGCAGCTGCACTGTCCTGCTGCCCAACAGCCAGAGCCATCCCACTGGCTGTGCCTGCACTGGCTCTGGTTTGGTTGTTGTGGAGGCTGTTTCAGGGCAGCTGCTCGTGCCCTGCTGTGCGATGTTCTGCTACTTCCTAGCTCCTGGCTGGCTGCTCATGACGGGTGAGACTTGTCGTTCCTGTAGAGGAGGCTAAACCCACCCTTACTGCAATGGAGGGATCTGCATGGGATAATCTGGACCCCAGCAGAAGACTTTGCAAGAAAAGCAAACAGCTGCTTCTTCTCTCCCATGTCCTGCGGCTCTTCTACAGCTTTGGGCATGGCCAGGGACAATTTCATTTTGGCCTATGTCACTGGGGGAAAGGTTGTAGTTCTGGTCTTTCTGACTTGTGTCTCTGTGTTGTCTCTCACCTCACCAGGCAGCCCTTGTCCTTCAAAGCCTGGCTTAAAAATACCCCCATGCCGTTGCACAGGACCACCACTGCCAAGGTGCATCCTGAGAAACCTGTGCCTGGTGCCATTCTGACGTGATGGAGCAGCCGGTCCTCAGCATTGCCCCCTTGGCCCTCCTGTTCCTCCAGCTCTACAAAGAGGGTTGACATCCCTTGGCATCTTTGACTCTGCTGCCAGCACATAACCTCCTGTTCCCAGCCCTGCTCATGGGAACTGGTGACTTTGACTCTTGCCCCATTGCCAAGCTTGGTCCGACTTGGCGCAGGGATCCTGGAGCAGAACTTGCTGGAGCGCCACAGTGTAGGAGACGTGCTCCATCTGCCTGGGATCAGGAGGAACATCCACAGAGGCCAAAGGCTGCTCCAGCAGACAGGAGTCTTTCACTTTGCTGCCAACAAGACTGTTTTTCCAAGGCATAACTGTTGCCAGAAATCCGTGGAGTCAAGACCTGCTATTTCTTTGCTTCTAAACAAAATAAACCCTAGTTTGGTTTCTGCCGGGGAGAAAAGATTTTGTCTCAGAGAATAAAGTCAGGCGGAAAGAGAGCGGGCTCTTGGTTTGTCCCTCATTCAGCACTGATAAATTTGGGGAGAGGGGAATTACATTGCAGGAGTTGGGAGATGGGTGCATGGCCTGGTCATGCTCTGCTCTGCACAGGGAAGACTCATCCATACTTGCAAGATGTTTTAAGCATCTTTCCAACCTGATCATCCTTTGGAAGCAGTTGGGCTCCTTCTCCCCGGTGCCTTAGGCACTGCGAGCAGCATGACGAGCTCGCTGCCACGCTGCCTTTGCAGCTCAGCAGAATGATCATGCGTAAAATCCCCAGGTAATTTACCCTGAGTGGGATCCTGTGATTTGCTGACATTCCTCATAAACTGAAACGAACATAAAAGAAATGAATGCAGAGTCGCTAATTTGGAAACTCATTTCGAATAACTCCTCACCGATGTGATAATGGTTAGCAGGGAGCCCTGGTGATAAATAATAGTTGCTTAAATCCTGAATTGGCTATAAATTGGCATGAAGGAGAGGAATCCCCTGCGTGAGGCTCAGCTCAATGAGTTACTCTACACTACACTCAGCAGCAGCCGCAGGTGAAGGCAGAGGTAGTTTTAGCTGTGTGAGGCTGTAGTAGCAGATGTCCTGACATACGTAAACTAGGAGATCATATGCATCCTCAAATGTCAGCTCTGCTTTACATCGCTTACTGCTTCTGGGAGCTGCAGGGCTTTACACCAGCAGATTATCCGCCTCCTTTCTCTGGCGAGCACTCCTCCTTTTTAGCTGCTTGGTGTAATTGCGTATAAACTGGGAAGATCCCAAAGGGATCATTACTTCTCTGCACAAACTGCTTTCCTTATTCACATTTCACATCATTACCTGCAGGCATCCCTGAGACCGAGCAGCGTTTCCTTGCAGGGCAGGGTGGTTTGCACAGGGCTGCAGGGGTAGCGGGCAGAGCTGATGTGCCCAGGGCTGGGTGGGATGATGTGGTCTGAGACCTCTGCCGTGGTACCCAAGGTGGTGGTGAGGTGACATTTCCTCTTGTCAACTTGCTTTCCTTTCTGGTGGCTCACCTTCCCCAGCATCTCTGTGATGTTTGGTCCTGGAGAGGGGAATGTGGCATCTCCCCTCCAAGATGCTCAGGATGGATCAGCAAAAGGGTCATGGGCTGGGAGCATGGCAGCAGCTTCTCCCTCCCACCAGCTTGAGACTGACGTGGTAGGGCTGCTTGGTGAGCATGAGCCACCAAGCTGGATCCCCCTTCCAGCACCGTGGCCTGATGTGTAACAGCACCTGGGAGGCTGAAGGACGTGCAAGGAAATGCTGACGGTGAGAGCGAAGCTTGGACCAGCCTTTCTCTGCTGAACATGGCTGCTTTTCAGAAGCCATGAGCCTGAGCTGTAATGAGGATGAAATTCTTCCAAAAGAGCTGCTGGTGTGGCTTGTAGGTGGCTGTGGTTGCAGCAACACCTTCATGTTGTATAGCATTTTCCTGTGAAGAGGGGAAATTGTGCTAACATTGCATGTTTTGTTGATTGGGGTGGCTGAGACGTGACTCACCTGACAGCCTGCAGAGTCGGTGGTCACATTAACCAGCTCCCAGAGGTAGCTTCCACCACAACTGCGCTGAAAAGCAATTGCAGAAGAAGACTGCAATCCTTTGTAACCACAAACTTGGGAAGATACATCTTTGTCTTTCAAAACCTTGAGACCGCAGCAGTCGGTTGTTCCACGCACTGGGAATGAGTCAGAGTTCAGAGGAACGCTCAGCTCTTCAGGTACTGATCTGGCACCCGGCCCTCAGAGTTCAGGCTTTCTGCTGGGTTTCCTCCACCTGCGGCACCTCGGGCAGACCCATCCATTGAGATGGCAGAGACCTGCCGTCTCTTATCTGAACAGGGAACTGTTGTACAGATTGTGAACTGTGGTGGCTAGACCACAAAAACAAGGCAGCTCGTCCGGCACAGAGATATAGAAGATCTTACCTGCCTACGTATGTGCTTGAGAAAGATATAGCTAAGATCCCTCCACATAAATCTTCCTCCATATTGAGTTATTTCTAACAGTTTGTTAAATCACACAGGTTTCTTCCTCCTGCTCCTTCCCAGCAGAGGTTGTGATTTATAACATGCCCTTGTGTATTTTTAAATGTCCCTTTTATATGATAAACTGCCTTGAAATATGTTACTAGAAATGACTCCAGGGAGATTAGCCTTGCTTGAGGCATGCAGCTCTTGGCTGTGTGTCCTCTGAAAGGCATGACATGTTTAAAAAACACCTTGTGTTAGATAAACTGTTTGCAGGCTGAAGACAACCAACAGCAGCCAGTGATGAATGTTTTGTGCATGAGAAGATGTAAATCTTGTTTTAATCCTGCCCTATTCATGGCCAGCTTGTCCTGAGCCGGGCTCAGAGCTTTCTGCCTTGTCTTCTGAGGGCTTCTCACCCAATCACCAGGGCAGGTGGTTGGCATCCCCAGCTCTCAGAAGATCGAAGGCAGCACGATGCCATCAACTCAAAATGACTCAATAGTCATAACTCAGAGCAGGAGGCTTCCAGCTTAGAGAGATACCCTGATGGACTATTAGGACCTCCTTTGACTAGAAGATCTTCTTAATCCTCCCCCATGCAGGGTGGGTCCTCTTCTCTGGGACTTAGGTTTCTGTGAGCTCAAAACAAGCTCAGACCTGGCCAGGAGAGCTGCAGCTGTGATTATAACCAGCTTGACCTTTCTAAACACTTCTCTTCCTCGAGCTGGGGTAGGAGCACAGCTTTCCAAACCAGAAGGCTGATGTCAGGATTACTTCATTCAGCAGTATTGGGTAAAGGCTAATAAACACCACTAAGAGCTTGCTAATAGCTCTAATTAAACCACAGCTGATGCTTCATAAGTGTTTCTCTTTCCTCCTCCTCCTTTTCCTTGCAGCTATTTCCTGGTGGAGCTGAGGAAGGTGAGGTGGATTAATGCTACTTTGGGAGACAGTCAAGAGTCCCAGCTGCAAAATTACATTTTTCTGCTTGGCTTTTTCACAGTGGGTCTGGCGGGGATTTATCAGGGCAGCTGTCTGCTCCTGCCTGGACTGGGTTGAGGTGCAGATGATGCATTTGTCTTGCTGGGAATAAGTCTGATTTGGGAGTTTGATAGACCAGAGGTAGAATGAAAATGCATCTTTGAAGAGCTATTCACCCTTGCTGCTGGGACCTTTCCTGGCTATGAGAGAATCAGCAAGTTGTTTCCTCAAAAGAAACTGTGATAAAAGGGTTTGAAGAAGGAGCTAATCTTAAAAATAAGAAAGCTTTGTTGTAGTTTGTTTTGTGGTTTTTTCCCTTTTTAACCTTGAGTATTTCCTGCAGCAGAAGACACTTGTGTGTCGAGACTTTAGATGTCTTGTGTCACATGAGCTTTTTAAGCTGCTTTTTTTTTTTTTCTTATTGGCCAAGGATCCTGACCGTGAAGGTACAGGGCTGCTGTGCAGAGCAGGTGCTCAGGGGCTCATGACTGTTCAACAGCTATTCCTTGGCTATCTGCCCCTGGGGGGCCTGGGCACAGGGGTCCCCCCGTCTAGGTCTGGGGGTCACCTCACCAGAAACATGCCATGATGCCCCAGCTATTGCCTCAGAGCATCACGTGCTGCATTTCTCACCCTGATCCTCTGTTTACAGATGCTGGGTTGCTTACATGTGTGAGCTGGAGGTTTACACAAGCTCCTACAGCAGTGTCACGGAAAACACCGTTCACCACATCGTAGAGCCAGGTGGGTTGTAAAGCCTTTGCAGGGACTGGGGCAGCAATGCTGGAGGGCTCTGCTATTTATTGGCTTGAGGATCCTAATTCTTTTTTTCTCTTGCACCTTTGATTATGGTTCCTATAACACATCTGAACAACCTGCTGTGCAACCTTCCTCCACAGGCATTCTTGGGCATATTTTGAAACCATCTTTACTCTAACCCCCCACAAAAAAAAAATCAAACCAAACATACTTTGGAATAAAACACCCGAGCAGATGACTTGGAAATTGCTCTGGCATAGCGCTGGTGTTGTGCGCAGGCATACGTCTCCTGATTCTGTGGACTTAAGAGCAAGTAAACACAGTGATTGTGTTAGCAGATCTTGTTTCCTTCTTGCAGATATAAAAGCAAGAAGCAGGCTGGATTCTTGTGGGAGAGAGAGCTTTTTGAGAAATGGTCGAGTTGAAACCTCTTACGAAAATAAAACAAACATCTACAGCTGGGAGAAGTAATAAAGGCTGTCCCTCCCACAGCCCTGGACAGTCATTGCAAAGCAGGGATTTGTTCTGTGTATGTCTTGAGCTGAGGGGTGAAATCTCCCTATAGATAATGTCTGGTGTGAGCCAGTGTATTACACATAAAAAACCCAAGCTCTTGAGCATGGGCCACAGCATTTGCTGCAGTGCTTTTAAGCATGTGCTAAGGCCAGGGAAGTAGAGGAAGGTAAGATGAGCATCTAGGGGCCTCGGTGGTAATAAACCATAGCAAGATGTAGGTGTGAGGCTGGTGAGCTGCTCTATGCTGGTTGAGGTGCAGTCGAGACGTTACCGGATATTAGAGGTGAAGAAGGTGGACTAGGGAACCTGTTTTCCATCTCTTTGCCTAAGTGACACTACTGGCCCGTGCTGGAAGCTGAACAGCCCTGGGGCTGAGCAAGCCCAGCCTTTTGGCATAGAATCATAGAATGGTTAGAGTTGAAAGGGACCTTAGATCCAACCCCCCTGCCATGGGCAGGGACACCTTCCCTAGAGCAGGTTGCTCAAAGTCCCATCCAGCCTGGCCTTCCAGGCATGAAGCAGGGTGGGTGGCAGGCAGGGATGGTTTGGTGCAGGGATGGTTCTCTGGTCCCTGTGAGCCAGCTGTGAGACCAAGGTGTTATTTGAGTTTCAACACCTTCCTGGGTTGCGAGTGAATTCAAACGGTGTGCATGTTTCTCAGTGTCCAAGGGAGGTTTGCAAAGAGAAGAAGGACAGCTGTCCATCTAGGAGGACAGTGCTTTTGGGCAGGGATTCAGTCACATACAGGACTAACATGGGATAAGCTTTTTTTCTGCAACAGCAGGGCTAGGAGCGTTGGGATTACTTCTCTTTCTAGAGGAAATATGAATTCCTCCTTTGGGACTCAAGGGAATAACATTCTTTGAAACATGATCAAACTCCTGGCACATCGTGTGCTGGTGACGGCACTGCTGAATGCAATGCAGCAGTGAGGAATAGTGCTCACTATTCCTCACATCCCTTCCCAACTGCTCTTGGAAAGTGGTGGTTTTTGTTAGTGTCAAAGTCAGGTGGAATTCATCAAATGCTGTGCGTCAGTGCCTGGAAGAGATGAGCTCTACTTGGAAATTTGGCAAGGGCATCCTGTGCTTCCTGGAAGCTGTGCCACCACTGTCCCATTCCCGAGGGGTTGTGGTTCCCAGCTGCTCGAGGAGGTGCAGAGGTTAATCCTCTACATCCCAAACCCTGCCTGTGCTGGGGAAACAAGTGCACAGCTTCTGGCTATGATCTTCCTGGCATCCTCTGCCTGGATTTGGCAGGTGGGGGGATTTTGTGACATTTGGTCCTTGTCCCCAGGAGCACGGAGGGGTCTAAAATGCCCTGACCTCATGCCATGTCAGCCGTGAAACTGAGAAAGTGGTTTGTGCTGTACTAGTCTGGGAGAAGGAATGCTTCCTTCTGTATTTCGCACCAAACAAACTGTTGGGAGCACGACTGATGGAGTTGCTGTGCTGACTTTAAGTGGAAAAAACCCAAAAACCCACAAAGCAAACTGAGACACAAAAAGGATGAAGCTTTTTTTTAAAGAGAAAAAGGAGCCCTGGGTGTGCTGTAAGCCACATGCTGGCTCCCGAGGTCTGGACTTGTGCTGTCAGGAAAGGCAAAGCTATCAAGACCTTACTTGGTTGTTTTGTGGGTTTTTGAGCCAGGTTCACACGTTCCTGGGAAACCGGTGTGTTGTATGCTTTAGGCCAGATGCTGGTGGCACAAGCTGGGAGGTGAATATCTGGCCCTTGAATGTAACTAATATTAAAAATCACATTTGGGAGACTTTGTGGAGCTCTTTGGAAAAGAGCAGAACTGTCTAACGCTGCTCTCAAATGAGTGCCGGGGGGCATGTCCTGGCAGTGCAGGCGGGTGATCCCACAGACAAGGTCCTCCTGGCTGGCCAGCCCTGTGGGTAAGGGTCAGCTCCTGGGGAAAGATCCTTCTCTGCTCCTTCGTAACACCCTCTTCTCCCCTCCAGCTGCCGTGTGTGCTCCAGGTGCAGCCCCAGGTGCTTCTCCTGCTTCCCCAGGCCTTTCTGCAGTCCTTTGGTAGTCCCCTGGGCTCCTTCACGTAGGAGGGTGCCAGTGTGGAGGCAGGGGCATTTATTTGATGGCAGCCTTTTGCAAGGCACCCCTGTGCATTTGCTGGCTGGTATGCAGAGATGGGTTGCTCTCCTGCTTAGTCCTGCATGTCTCCTGCATGCAAGGAGCTGCAGCAACCAAGCCCATGTTTCCCTCTCAAAGCTCTCCATCCTCTCACCTCCAGAGCCGTTTTGCTCAACTCTTTGCCTCTGCTGTGGGAAAGCTGCACACAGAAGAAGGTACTGGTCTGTGACTACTGCTTTAAGACCCTACAAGGGTTAGTACAGGCATTTTGGGCCCTTCTGCCTTGATTTTCCAGGACTCTCAGGTCTTCCGCTGTAAGGAAACGGTTAGTGGCTTTACACATGGTCCTTCTCCTGACTGCTGTCTTGATGCTGTGTGAGAAAAGAGCTGCTTGCTCCAGCCTTCCCTGTTCAGCCATGCTGAGAAGGTTTGAGAGATCCGGCAGGGCATCCTGTGGTGGAGAATTTTGGTGTTTAATTGCACCACCTGTTTTTCTTCTCAGCTAATGTTTGCTTGAAGGCTCTTGAAAAGCAAACAAGGCCAAACCACAGAAAGCTGGAGCAGGCTGCGAGAAGTGGTTTTAGGTTTGTCCCATCGTTCTACCTTCTTTGATGCAAGTTGTGCAAGCATGGAGTGCTGCGTACAGACAGTCAGAGTGCTCAGAGAGCTGCCTGTACAGAGCAAATGCTTGGAGGAGTGTCCTGAAGCATTTAGAAACAGAGATCATGAGTACTGTACTGTGGCAGAGCAGTGGGGTGTGAGAACCCAACATGAAGGAGCTGGAGCACCTTCTGGTAGGAGGTCTGGGATCTCAAAGTGCGTCCAGTGTGAAATGGCAGGAAATGTCTTATTTCAGAAGTTCCTATGAATTCCTTTTCAAGGAATTCCTGGATGCCCTTGGGTGGTTCAAAGGAACCACTTCCTTTAGAGAAATCTGGCATGTTTTGTTCTTTTTTTTATTTTTTTTTTGAGTTTTATATCTTTTAATCTAAGGTAAATATCTTAATTTATAGAGTTAGTGAAATATATAGCGGAATAATTTTGAAATGGAAAACTGATGGGGAAAATTCATTTTTACAAACAAATTTCTGGAGAAGAAAATTGGAAATGTCCGGAAAAGTCATCAAAATCAAAGCATTTCTATAGGAAAAACTCTGTTTCACGATTGGTCTTCCGCTTGGAAGGAGATGCTTTCATTGACACGTGTCAACTGAGCTGACATAAATCACGGCCCTAAATTTTGCATCGCAAAAACCCTCCCTGCCCTATTTGGAGGTTTGGGGTAACTTCGTATGAGCAGCCGGGAGACTGGAAATAGCCAGAGACCGGCAGCGACCAGGTGACGTGGGTTGGATAAATTTTCAACCGTTGTTTCAATGTCACTTTGTCAAAATCCTTTTGGACACTCTGCTTCGTAGCTCAGATCCTGTCCCTGTGCGGGAAGGCTGGGCGCCTCTGAAGCTGCTCTCAACAGGGTCTGGTATTACAGGCGATGTCTGTTTTGCCTGGCACCAGCCAAGCCTGTCTGATTATTTGGAGGCGAGTTGGACGACAGCGCCGAGAGACAGCTATTAAACTGGGCACCTGTGGATCCTGCTCAGTGTGCCTCTGTGCTACAAGCCTACACAGGCTTCCACAGTGTCTAGTACCAGCAGGCAATATTGGTGTCATAACTTGAACTCGGACAACGTAATTATCCTCACACCCCACCCTCCTACCTCAGTGTGATTTTCTGCGACTGTTGTATTAGCAAAAGGAAGGGGAAAAAAAAAAGCCCAAACCCAATGTTTCCAGTATACAGAGAGTAACGGAATTGTTTGTATGGCAGTTGTGACTGGTGTAATCTTGGTTGTTAGACAGCTTTAAGTGGGATTTAAAGCAGTCAAGGATGCCAAAACAAATAGCAATGAGATAGATGGTCTATTAGGCACAGCTCTTTTGAATCACTCAGCGCAGGAAGATTTTTACCTGGTTTGTGGTGCATTGACAGTGCTAAATGAGGGGGAAAAAGGGGTATGGCCTTGGTGGGACATGCCGCTGAGAAACGGGCCAGCACCAGATCTCAAGTATAGCACCAGCACAAGGCTTTTAAAGCGGCTGTGTCTGCTCAGTGCTTCTTTGGCTGTTGGGTTCAAGGTTCCCCCTGCTTGGTGCCCTGCAGGGAGGGACGGTTCAGTGCTGTGCTCCCAGCCTGGAGTCCAGCCAGATTCTCATCTGCCCATCCAGTGAGCTGGAGAAACACGATCCCAGAGACTGGTTGTTAACGCTTTTATCTTTGCTTGATTGCTTGGTTGATTTTGATCTTTTTCCAGAGAAGGACCTTTGTTCTGACTTTCACTCGTTTTAATCCAAAGCTGGTGTAATCATCAATAAGGA